CCCACCCTCCGCAGCCTCCTTGCCCCACCCCCAGGTGCAGTGCATGGGGGAATGGCAGCAGTACCCAGCCCTGGATACAGGAACTGTAAAAAAAAAAAAAAAAAAAGGAAGGGAAGACAGCAGGGGCCATTCTCCAAACCTCAGGCTGGAGACCTGGGTACACTACTGAGTAGCCAGATGGAAGGAATCCCCTTCCTCTTCCCAGTGCCAGCAGGAGCCAAACTGGGCTGGTGGGAGTTGATGGCTTTCTTTCATTCATTCAGTACCAGGGGACGGGCTCCTGAGTGTAGGTCAAATACCAAGAGGTAGATAGTGAAAACAGAAGGAGCGGACGCACTTGAATAATCTGAAAATTGGATAAAGGTATCATTTACATTGCTCTGAAAATAAGGCAGGATTTTCCCACATGAGGGCAGAACCTGTATCTAAGTGGAAGAGCAATTCTGTTAGAAGAGGCTGTTCCTCTGTGAGAGCAGAGATGCAAGAAACAGCCTACAGGTCTAGAGGCGGACGATGTGTTTAGCCAGTCTAAGTCCAATGTCTAGGGTAAATAGCATGCACCTCGTACCACAGCTTGGTCAAAAGGGAACTATATTCAGTATCTTGTAATGAGAAAGAATATGAAAACAAATTCACACACGCACACACACACACACACACATACACACGCACACCTGGGACATTGTGCTGAAATTGACACATTGAACTGACTATACTTCAATTTAAAAAAAAAAAAAAAGGAAAACGGCTTTGCACAAACTGCCCCTGAGCAATGTTTAAGAGCATTGCTCACAGGGAGGGTATAGCTTAGCATGCATGAGGTCTTGGGCTCAATCCCCAATACTTCCATTTAAATAAATAAATAAACTTAATTAGCTCCTCCGCCCCCTGCAAAACAAAGCAAAATAAAAATTTTTTTAAAAGGGGGCATCACCAGGGGAAAGAGCAGGTGCAGAACCGGCCGGTGTTTAAAGTTTTATATTCTTCTCGAACAAATCCGTGCATATGTGCATCTGAAAAGACTGGAAGAATACAAAATACAAACCAAGCTGTTAACAGAAATTACCTCTGGGAAAGGAGGTTGCATAAGGAGGGAGGGAATTTTTACTTTCTGTCTCATATTTCTGCGTATTGTTTACATTTTTTGCAAGTGCAGATTGCATCCACAGTTTTTCTAAAGATGTTTTGTATTTGGAGAAAAGAAAAGGATCCTGGCAGCGAAAGCACCAACGGAGGGGCACCGCTGGCAGTGAGGCTACTGTCCAAGCAGCCACAGAAGGTGGCAAGACAACCTGGGGGTCCCAGCGGGGGAGGACCTAAATCAGCCCAGAAGCCACAGTGGGCTGGGGTTATGAGTTCATGTCAACTGGAAGGTTCTGTCGATTTCTAGAGGTGTAACCGGGGCCTTGAAGGTTCCAATAAATGCTCCTTTGCACACAGTTTTCACCACCTACCCAAACCTTACAAGCTCAGGGCCAGGGGTGGAAACAGATGGAGACCCACTGGTTAAGAGCAGTATGCAGTTTGCTAGGAACATCCCCTCTGACCCTGCTTGCAGTCAGACACTCGGGAGCTTTCCAAAACCTACCCTGTCAGGATCCCCTAGGATTCCCGCATCCAGCCATCCGTTCAGCAATCTATTTCACAAAGGTTTATTGAGCACCTACTATTTACAGGCACCAAACCAAGCCCTGGAGTGGAGGGGGGTGGTATTCAGGGGCAACTCACACACAAGGCTGAATCTATGTTGCAAAGCCTGAAGTCCATGGGGAAGACAGACAACGGAACATGAGACTACAGCCTTGTGGCAAGTACAAATGGTAGGGAAGATCAGCGTTCTACGGACCTTCAGGGAAGGGGCACCAGGATGAGGGCTAGGGAGATACTGGAAGTGACATGCCAGCTGACCCCTAAAGGAGGCTCCAGGAGCTAACCAGGAGAGGATTCCAAGTACAGGGAACAGCATGTCTGGTGTATGGAACAGTCAGGTAGGGGAGCGTGAGAAGTCCTGGCAACAAGATGATTACACTATCAGGAGAGAGCGGACACTCAGGAGGCTCCACACAAACTCTTTGACGCTGGCTTCCCCCCTGGAGACTTTGATGGGGAGACTTACTGTCAGGGCACCCTTATTGTGATTTGTCTCTGAGGACTTACCTCCCTGTCCCACCCATATTCCCAAGAAAGCCTGGGCTGTGGGGTCAAGCAGACCTCAGCACCGGTCCTGGCCCTCACTTTGGCCAAGTCACCACACCTCTCTGCACCGTTCTGTGCCTCAGTTTCCTCATCTGTAAAGTGGGACAATAGCCACACTTACTTTACGGGAGTGTTGTGAGAACACAGTGGCGCCCTAGCACCAGTTCTTGGCACATTGTGAAGTCTTTAATACATAAAAACTGTAGTTCTGCCTGGTTAGCCATGGCCATGGGGTGGTTAGGTGTCAAAGCTAGAACAGGCACATGGGGCTCATTGCATTATACTGTTTACTTTTGAGTATTTTTGAAGTTCTTAGGACAAAATTTATTTTTCACATTGACTGTTCTTATCATTTACTTCAATTGCTACTGGGATCCAGGCTTCTCTGGGGAGCACCCTCATTCACTCAGGGGGCCTAGGATATGTAATAATGGACGGGAGACCAAAAGATGCTTCCAGAATTCTGCATTTCCACCTGCCAGTTTCACCCTCCCCGATGTTCAGCAGGACCCTGGAGAGACACTGCCCCCTACCCCGAACCATACTGATTCCGGGATTTGGTCCCAATGCCAACATCAGAGTCTTCAAAATCAAGTAAGAGAGGGAAATATGGAAACTTTCATTCCACTGATTTATTTTAAATCTAAAAAAGAGCGAGAAAGTCAAGCATTACTAATACTGAAAATACACATTGAAACTGTACACTCAAAGAATTAAAGTGCACAGCCTTACCTATGACTCATAAAAAGAACACATTTTTTTGCCTGAGATTCTGGAAAAATGGCAAGTTGAAGGAAAACACATGGATTAACCCTTGTTTTCTTTTTTTTCTAGTGAGAGGAGCCTTGTCTCCAAACCTGGTTAGCCAACTGCAATATACATACTGACTTGAATGCAGAGCTCCTTTGCTGAATATAAACACAAGAAGATAGAATTTTTTAAGTATGGATTGACAGCGGTATACATAAATTATTCATAAGTCAAATACATATATTGGGGATGAGTGCTCAAAAAATGTTTGTCCAATAAGATTGTGTAATCGGTGAAGTCTGAAGCCACCAGTCTCCACAATATGGCCCCTCCATGGTGCCCTCATAGCTCCATTAAGAGGGGGGCCTAGAGGTTTTGTCTTGGGCGCCCAAGAGGACCATCTGCTCATGCAGATAGGAGGGAAAGGTAGCAGACGGCATAACTTCTGTCTGATTTCCAGGTCCAGGTGTGTATCTCATGCCCTCAGGCAGTCCTGAATATAATTAGTCACCTAGATGTGGACTCTTGGGAGTGAAGAAAGGGCCTTCTTGCCGATCAGGGACAGCCAGGCTCACTTCAGCTAAACCCTCTGCACCTGCAAAATGGCCCTTTCCGCATCAGCAGGAGAAGGTGGTCAGTGGCCCTGAAGGAGCAGCGTCGGGGTTGGAGTGGGGGGTATTGCTGGTGGAGACACACAGGTCCAAACTGAGCATTTGGAGTCGATGACTAAAGTGCCTTGCCATCAACACTGACCCCAAGACAGGATGTTCAGCCAACTGCCTCCGGAATCTGGGATGTTCTTTGGGTTCTGGCTGGTTCATCTCATCTGGCCATTTGGAAGGTGCTGAGACTCCCTACATCAGAGGAGGAGTGGGACATGTGTCCCACCCATTTGCTCTCCTCTCAAACACCTGGGAGCTCTGAGAGGTGAATGTACCCCATCTGTGCAGTCAGGCAGGGGCGTGGCCTGAAGGTCTGAGCTCATGTCCATACCTTCTTTTAAGCTTTGTGAGCACAGGCAAGTCACTGGACTTCTCTGAGCCCTAATTTTCCCACCTCCCAAATGGACAGAATAATAGTTTTTCTACTTCCAGGGAGATGCCAGTATGATAATCCCAGCCCAAAACCATAGCAAGTGGACCCGAAAGCAATCAGAAAATTTAAAGGATGCTTTATAACTGATTGATAATAATTCTCGACTCAACTAGAGACAAAAATGGTAAGTGTCTGGGGCAAACAATTTATTTGATTTCACATGCACCCCAAGACTGATGGCACACAGAGGTGGCAGCGTCTCCCCATTCTCCCTGATCCTTCTCAGGGGGTCCACTAGGGAGATCACGGGACCAGAGACCTCAGTGGGTCATGAGAGGCCTGCCTGGGACACGGAGAGGGTGCAGGTGCAGAGAGCTGTTCCTGAGCTGGCACACTCCCGCCACCATCCCTGCCTCCCGCCTGCTACCTCATCAATCTATCATCCTCTTAACAGCTGACACCTCTGGCAGCACCTCCCAGCAGCCCAGGCATTAGAATTGCAAGAAACCCGGGTGCACCGGGAATACAGATGGAGGAATCTCAGATTTAAATTTGTCTAAGTATTGTGAACAGCCAGACCTGGGCCTGCCCTTCCACCAAAGGGGAGTGGTGGGGGTTTGTTAGAAGTACAAATTGCTTCTTAATGCAGAGGATAAAGCTGGGCTCGGGCACCTCCTTAGAAATTCCTCCCGCTCCCAGGAAAGCCACCGCTGCATGTCAATTTTAATTTTTGAAATTTAAACCGAGGGCTTTGTGTCTAAGCTCCATCTCATCGGAGGAAGGGGAGGAATAAGTCAAAAAGGATTAGGGGCCCGCTGGGGATTGCAGATCCATAGCAATTAGACTTCATTTGGGTCTCAGACACTTGGTTTTAATCGCATTTCTGGATGATACAATCGACAAGGCATCAGAGATTGATACGTATACAACTGTAGATGGGGCCGGCTCTGCCCTCCCCAGTTCCTGGGCTCAGCTGGGTTTGGGCTCCACAATCAGCGAGGGTGGCGTGGGTAGGGAATTGGGGCTCATTTGGATCTGAAATTGGAAGGATGGTGGTTTGTGTATGTATGTGTTTGTGTATATATATATATATTTGTTTTTCTTCTCGCTCTCTTGAGCACTTTATCCCTGGACTCAAAGCAGATGCAATCATTGCTAATATTCAAGTGAATGACAATAAAACATTATTCAAATAAAATAAGAGCAGAAAGAGGAACAGCAACAGAGTCAGGACTCGAGGCAGGGGGTATAATTGTCTGAAAGGGACACACCTTTCAGCATCTTCCAGGAATCGAAGTTAAGCACAGTGCGATTTGGGGGCAGACAGATAGCCATGAACACTGTCACACACCACATTGACAGGAGTCTATGAATAACTGTACGTGTGCACATGTGTAACATGGATTAGTGATGACAACCACAACATAACATCTACATGGGTGTGTGTGTGTGTATCTAGCTTTAAACAGGTATGCACACTCTGAGATCGCCTCTGTGTACACACTCACGTTTCCCTTCCAATAACTGGTCAAAACGAGCTCTGTAAATACTAACAGGTTGCTAACCAGTTATTTTGTAGATAACTTACTGTTTGCTGGAACTCAATGATCTAAAAACAGAACAGAAAATAGTCAAAAGAAAAAAATCAACAGCATGTGGGGTGTTTGCCTAACTTGTGTGTTTGGAATGATGACAGGGAGGAAGGGGAGACCAAATAAACACAGTGGGTTGAGGACAGGTGCCCCACATCCTTGTGTACACGGGAAGGGAAGACCCCTCCAAAAGGGGTGTCCCACCCCAAGGAATACAGCTTATCTCACTTACCACACAGCTCTGGGTGACTTCAGGGAGCTGGATGGTCCACAGAATTGCCCCAGTTTACCAGCAGTTTACCAGCTCCTTAACGGAGGACGGACCCAGCTGGGGGGTGTGTTAACATATACAGAGTGGACTATGTGCCTGAGTGGGTGTGTTTCTTCGGGGACTTCTACACTTCCTTTTAGGGGCAAACAGCTCAGAGATCACCTGATGGCTAATGCCTCTTTCATGCCTCTCATTTTGCTGAAACGCCTCCTCTTCCTTTTCCTTCTCCAGAAACTCCTGTCCTTTGACCTCCTTCTAGGCTGGTAGCCTGAAGATCCAAACCTCCCTCTCCTGTCACCCTCTAACTCTCCCTCCCACCCACCTCTAGGCCCCTGCAGTTCAGGGCTGCTGCTCTGCCCAGTGGAGACTCCCCCTCCCCATCAGGGTGACATGCTGCTGTCACATCTCCCCACATCTTTTCACCCACCCCAGGTGGCAGGGAAAAGGCTGGCCAGCCGGGCATAGATGGAGGTATTCTAGGTATTTATGGTCAAGGAGGACATCTGGAGGCCCGGTCCTGGGGCCACGCTGATACAGACATTGAAGCCCAGAGTCTAAAAACATAATTTAATGCATCGTGGTGGATCTGAGGCGGGACCGCGGTGGGGAGGTGATTTTTCTGTTTGCTGGGATTCTGCTGAGGGTGGGATTTTGGCTGATGGACAGGGACATTTGCCAAGTATTTTAGGTCACAAAGAACAACATGCCAGGGAGCTCTTGCTCACTTTGGCCGACATCAGTGGCCAGGGCTGGGAGCCCTGAATCTCAGGACACTGGGAGGAGGAGGGGGACAGGAAGAGGGCAGGTATCCCGGCCGCACCTGTCCAGTCTAATCAGTTTGCCAAGTCTGTGCTGCTGCCTCGCTGGGGTTCAGGTTCACACCCATTTCTCCACTTGGGCATCCCCCTCGCCCTTCCTGGGTTGGGGACAGGGGCCAGAAGCACAGCCCAGAGCGTGGCGAGTGGCAGACACGACTGAGGTCGGGAGAGGGGCAGGAAGGACAGCAAGGATGTGTCTTTTCCAACGATGTCAGGAAGTGTCATGAAGTGTCAGGAAGCAAGAGCGGTCCTCCACAAAGAGCAGAGCGCCCCCGTGGGCCTAGGGCGGCCTAGAGGCCCCACCTCGCGCTCCCTGCGCCTCTAATCCGGGTACAGAAGAAAGCCCGAGAACGTGCTGTATTTGTTGTTATTGCCTCCGTGCGCCTTCCCGCCGTCCAGCTTCACGTACACCTCATCCCCTGAATCAAGGTGCAGCACCACGCTGTTGCTGGCATAGTCGTAGTTCTGGTCGGCGTCCTGCGCAATGGCGCTGGCCCGGACCTGGGGGCGAGATGCCAGAGCGGGTGGGCCCGGGTACCTCTGCCTGGGCCCTTGCCCGTCCCCCAAGTGCCGCCACCTTTGGCCCGTCTTCCGCCCGCGGGTCCAGGGTCCACGCTCCCACCCAGGCTCCACGGTCTCTCTTCAACTTAGCCAACTCCTTCCCGGTCCCCTATTCTCCGCAGCCGCCGAGTCCGGGAAGGAGCGGGAGAGAGGACTTCGTGGGCACTGACCCAGCGGGAAAAGGTGGGAACCAGGGGCCGGGGTCGAGAGGAAAGGAGAAGGGAGGGCACAGGGGAGAACGGGGCGCACAGGGAGCTAAAGAAGAATGAGGTTTCCGAGGACCCCACGGGGCTGAAGGCGGATATAGCAATTGCGGGAGAGTGCAGTTTGGTAGCGGGGTCTCCGGGCGCTGGGAACACAATCTCTGGAGCTACATTTGGATAAATGCCACCAGGGCGCATTGGGAAACAGGATGTTGTGCTGCGCTCCTTCCCGGGGCTAGCTAGGGCGCTCTCGAGTGAGGAGGAAGGAGGCTGGTTTCCCAGGCGGTGGGAACTGGGGTCTACTGGGATTTGCAGGAGTAGGGGAGGGGTCACTGACCTGCCCGTTCTTGCAGAGGTCCGCCCACATGCTGGTGCCGTCGCCGCCGCGCATGAGGATGTGGTAGGTGAAGAAGTAGATGCCACGCACCTGGCAGCTGAACTTGCCCGTAGTGGGGTCGTAGTGATTGCCGAGATTGGTGACCACGTCGTCGAACTTGAGCACCTCGTAGCCTTCGTGGGGGCTCTTAAGACCCACGTAGAAGGCGATCTTGGGACCGCTGAAGGCGGCGCTCAGCGCGCCGGTCACTTCGCCCTCGGAATCGCCGCCGCCCCCGGTTCCGCCACC